CTCCACGAAATAAATCACACACACTGCACTCTACGACCACATAATGTAAGGTATACCTGCTACTATACAATAATATTCAAAATATGTACAATACGATTAGGTACTGCATTATTAATTATACCTCGAAGATCAATATACATTATAATATTATTAAATTTTATTCGAACGAAGTAATTTTAACATTTTTTATATCGTCTGAAAAAAATGGTAGGTATATAAAGCCCAGCTAGGTAATAAAATACTAAATCCTAATAGTATAATATATTGTATTCCATTTTGTATATATAGATAAACGATTTTTTAATTATTCTTTAATTTGTATTGCTCTWTTCTTATATRTATGAGATACACGCCGAAATAACTGTTGGTATTTAACAATTGTCTACAATAAYTTAATTACTTACTAATAACTACACTATTATATTGGAATGTACAAGTGGGTTACAACAATATAGGAACCTATATATTTTTTAAATTTAAAAATCAATTGATTATTTTCTGTGCATTAAAATATTATGTTTCAGTCAGAATAAATTATTTTTCAACCATGTTTGTTTTCAGTTATCATTTACAAGTAATGGTAAAGGTTTAGTAATGGTCTAGCCTAACCAGTAAATGAAATGTATAATTTTACATAGATATTGTGTATACATATTATAAGTTCTATTTTCACACGTTTTGTTTAACACTGCATAATGCATATTATAATATATATGTGTGTTTATTTTTCAAATGATATGCATAGGTATAGGCTCCTGCATAGGAATTATAAATTAGAGCTTACGATATTTATTACGAAAGAATAACGCAAAATAACAATCATAAATTCAGTTGCACTTGTTTTATATGACWGGTGTGTTCGGGTAGTAATTATTTAAGTAAATTGTTCACATGAGTAGAATTATGATGATATTCTGTCAATATAATCATGTCATAAAATTCATTATATCCGTATATCAATATATCATATATGTCAGAAAAAACTCACGATAATTAGTTTAAATTGTGATTAACTATTGAGTGATTGATGAATGATGGTATCATAAACATCAATTTGTATAAAAACAATATAAAAAAGTAAATGTACGAACGGTTTCTGAAAAATTTGAATTTTTTTTATAAATTACAACAATTAGTTCACTTAGATAMTATAGGTTATAACAAGGTAAAACAGTTGTTTGAAATCTTTTGAAGTACCTATATAAAGTGAAGTAGATATTTGTATTCTCCTGCTTTYGCTTCAATTATGCATAGTTTTGTTGTTGTATAAATACTAATATGTTAGCTATTGAGCTGCATATGAGTGATGACTGTGCGGTATATTTTATGCTCATAAAGTCATAAGTCATAATATATGACCATATTATGTTAGGATTAAAAAAACAACTTATTAAGACGTCTTAGTAGTTAATGATTCGGGAAATAGTTATTATATTATCATGTTTTATACTTCTAAGAGGTTAACAAATTAGTGTGGATATTATTTTCCTATACCTATATTTGTCAATTTTTATTTTATCAAATTATCATTATCATTATTATTTTTTATTATTACTTTAAAGCCTCAACAACTAAGGTTATTAACTTACATATTATTTAAATATTACTTCTACATTATGGTACAATTTACAATACATTTTACAATATTACAATATAATTATTTTTGATATGAGCAATGTAAAAAAGGAAAAATAACAAGAAAAAATATAAAATTTATCATTATTTATAATAAATTAATAGCTTTACAAATAGCTGAGAAAAATATTTTCTGATACTCTTTATTATTTTTAAGCAGTATACAAATGGCAAGTACTTTAAGTCTAATGAAGAATTTTTCTTATTTTTAAAATGATTATAAACTATTATAGGTTAGCACATAACAAGGAATGTTTACACAATTTTTGTTGAAACCAGTTTAATGRCTATATACCTACATTTAAGCAATCAACGCGAATTAATGGATCTTCTTTTGAAGCTGCTCTGTGTAAGAAGGAATTCGTATTATGCTACATGTTAACCACATTGTCAGTTGCGATAACAGTATTGATTAGTTTAATTTAATTTACTAATCAAATACGATTATAATTTATAACCTATAGGTAACGCATAAAATATTACAAATATAGCTATAATATGATAGCATGTTTTTATAGAAAGGTAACTTCTACCTAACTTTAAATTAAATATTTTACTGAAACTATTCACATTATTTATTTCCGTGATTTTTATTGGCATTTTTTAATGGTTATACTACAAGGTAAATTACGATGATATTATCTAAGTTCTAATACTACCTTCGTCGTGGATCTAATGYAGATTCCTACGTATAAGGGGGYGGAATAACTAAAATAATTTTTCAAAAATGTTAGCATATTCCTACTTATTTTTTTAAGAAACGGAATGGTAAATATTTTTAATAGGACACAGGACTGCACGAGCTATCAGATATCATAATTATTCATCGGCTATTACCTATTGTTTGTTGCATTAAATATTATTGTGATATAAATATATATAGGTACAACGAAAATCAACTATAGCTGATCTATAAGCGCATTGGTCATGAGTCATGACTAGAGCCCAGAATTATATTCTTTAAAAATAGCTAAGATAAGATGCTAATATTCTCTTAAAAAGTTGAAAATATTCTTCCAATATTCTTTAAAAATCATAATTAAATATGCCAAAAATATGCTTTTTGCTTGGAGCTAGCTATTTTTGTGTAGTAATTCCAATTTTTTGTCGGGGATTGTTATCTTAGATAAGTCACATATCTTATATACTACAGTTGATTGCAGCACATTACTACGTAGGGTATAATAATCGTATATACGATGGACGATGGTATATAAATATATAGTATATTTTCAATATCATGACATTATCACTATTATCGGACATACTATAATTTATATTATTTACGTCACTGCAACCAAAAATACCGAACATCTATACAAATTAATCGATATATTCTCTAATATTCTTTATT